GAGGGAGGGAGGGAGGGAGGGAGGGAGGGCAATGGGTGGAAACTAATCAAGGAGAGAAGCAACTTAGAACTGGAGAGAAATTTCCTGACAGTTAGAACAATCAATCAGTGGAACAGAATTTGCCTCCAGAAGTTGTGAATGCCCCAACACTGGAAGTCTTTAAGAAGATGTTGGATAGCCATTTGTCTGGAATGGTATAGGGCTTCCTGCCTAGGCAGGGGGTTGGACTAGAAAACCTCCAAGGTCCCTTCCAACTCTGCTATTGTATTATATTAAGTCATTTGTAAGACAATTTCAGCCTGTGAAAATTTATTGGAAAAGTGATTGTAAAAATATGTGTGTGGACCCAGGTAGGATCTAAATTGAATTTGAGATAGTTCCATGCTTGAAAGATGTATTAATCACTACTTGCAATGAGGAAGCAATGGCTTACAAACACACAAACACACAAACACACACACAAATGGCAGAGGAAAAAAACCACTTAATGTTTACAGTATACATTAGCAGTCTTATTTTCTTTCCACCCTATATCCACATGATTTGCTGTATCTACTCATTGTATATTTAAAGCATTCTCATGTGTTTACAATACACAATAATTGAGTTATTTAAATAGTTCCACAAGTCTCATTTTCAAGGCTTGCTGTGTCAGTACAAACTTTCTTTTTTGAATTGTAAGAATTAATAGCTAAGCTGACTTTATCTTCACCTCTAGATTCTCTTAGGGATCTAAAACTGGTTTTAACAAAAGACTGAAAAGCGCCACAGTATTTTTGTTGCTGTTTTATTTCCAGAATGCTACTGTTTTCTCAATTTGAAAAATAAAGGCGAATATCTTGAAAATTGTGTTAAAAATTTATCAATTTATTAAGCTTTTGTATTGTATAAGAATTGTAGAACTCTCTCATCAAGCTTCAGCCACTGTCAGGATCTTATAGATTAAGGAGTCAAACATTTTGAAAAAGTGACAATAGATGGAGGTTATGATCCATCACCAGATGATGAAATTTATTAGATGTTTATGCTTTGCCAGATTATCCTAGTGTACGTTTGCCTTTTTTAGTAGGCAGGCAAAGACAGTTATAAATATATCTCTGGATGACAGCCACTTCCCATTTTCATTTTCTGGGACTCTCCATGGGGACATGTAAATTTTCATTTATACATTTTTTATATAAATACTAATGTAAACAAACCAGTTATTACAGCTTCTTACTCCTTACATGTTAACAATGTCATCAACAAATATTAAATATTCAGACTATCAGATCTGGGTTGGAGAATTTAGTAACCTGTAGTTTCGTACGGATCTTAATTTTGCTGGCGACTAGAGGTTGTCCGCATTTTTACAATGGGAAGCAAGCAAGCAAGCCTAATACCTCCTCTATTGATAGCCTGCTGCATCTTCCTCCTGCTTCAAATTTCCCCTTTTCTCCCAATCGCAGCAGCTCACACGGCTGTTTTACACTTGAGAAAAAGTGGGAATCTCTCGCGAACTAATAAAAAGAGCTAATGAATTTAATATAGTAATTAATGTAAGAAACCCACTTGCGAAGGCCCAGCGAGAGGGGAATAGAAAAACTTTTCCTTTCGTGCTGGATCTGTCTCTTTAAGAACGACGCGGTACCTGTGTGGAATCAGCCGCCCGCGTTAAGGTAAACGGAGGGCACGAAATAGCAGGACGCGGCTCTCTTTGGAGGAAGAAAAGAGGCGAAGAGGCGGAAGGGAGGAGTAAGCGGAGGTATATTATGGAGGGTCTGTTGTTTGCCTTGCGCTCCGCCAAGTGCTGAAATTGAAAAATGCGGATTCAAGCCTTTTTCTTAGCCTTGGCTACGTTTCTTCGAAATTAATCCATTTAGCTCCTTTCAGCCCCAAATGAGGTTCTCGGAATAAAATAAGATGCTAAAATAGATATTTTATAATCGGGACTCGCTTGGAGATTTGACCTGTTGCTCGGGACTCGCTTGGAGATTAAAGTCGCCATTAATCATTAGGCTGTGTTCGCAGAGACGAGCATTTCGGCTTCTGAATATTGCCTCAACCCTTCTGTCTCTTGTTCAAACGTTCAGGGCCCTCTGGTGTTGGCCATTTGGCCAGCCGTGCTAGCTGGCAGTAGTACGCAAGGAGGACCCTCTCTGTGAGTTCTGGCTTTTAAATTGCTAGATTATGCTAGTCCTATGGAGAGCGAGCCCAATTATTTATGTTTTTTCAGCAGGAAACAGTCGAGTTTTGTGTCACCTTAAAGGCCAGCACCGTTATCATAAAATAATTCCGTTGAATGCAATTCATTTGGTGGAGTGGACTTGTCAAAAGAGGATTAGTACTCTTATAAAAAGAACAAAGGTGAATTAATGGCTTATAAACGGGAACGTTGCTGAGATACAGCTGAATCTTTTCCCATTTCTCCTCCCTCATAATGACTTTAATAGGCTGGAAGCTTTGGTTAAAGTGCATGAAAAGCTGTAGCAACATAAAAGGAATCTTAAAATTCAGAGACAATGACCTTTCAGCATTGATTCTGCACTATTCGAGAGAGTAAAATTCACCTTTTGAGTCCTTCTGGGAAACCGGGAAGATTCCTGCCAAATAAGATGGTTGTTCAGCCTGTGGTTTGCCAGTTTTATAGCAGACCCGGTCAATATGGTAGCGATGATTTAAATTCAGTTACTTGATTAAGCTCATTAGATTTATTAGCCTTGCACAAAAGCGCTGGGCGGTTTAGCTGAAAAAGTGATAAATTATAATGCCTTAAATCTCTGGACTGTTGGTTCAGTCTTTGTCCTTGTTAGTAATGCCTTAATAACCAATTGTGAGTGACACTAATGGCTGCTTCTCTGTTCCAGATTGAGGCATCTTGGCCTAAAATTCTTTACTGCTCTATTTTTTCCTGTTGAATAAGTAAGGGAAAGCCAAAACAGACATAATGGCTACAGGGAAGAAAAAAATGGTGCTTTATCTGATTATACCAACTGAAAGTTTGAACAGTGGCAAACTGGAGGCTCAATACTTCCTCATCAAGCAACATGAGTTACACGTGCTATGTGTTTAAAATATGTATCAGTGGAAGTGGCAATATAACTGCATACTGTATATGTGGTCAACTATACAACTATATTTTGTGGTCAACTATACAACTATATTTTGACTATTATACTGTAGTCAAAAATAAGAAATCTGCACACTTGCAAACTGGCTCCTATCTAGAAGTGAAATGTGGTTATATTGCCACTTCCCCAAGTCAGTTTAGTTGAATCAAAAGTATCAGGTTTTTTTGCAAATAGTTTAGTTTTATTCATAGCTACCTAGCAAAACAGCAATATACAAATTTTAAATAAAACTTGGAAAATTAGAAGACTAAGCTAATAGAAATCAAGAATGAATAAATAATAGGCATGTTTTCCTAATATGTTGCATTTTGGTACAACAGCAAATATCATTTCCTATGCTGTTTTGAAAAAGTCTTGTGTTTTTTTAAAACCGCAATAAACAGGAATCTGATTGATAATGGTTTATCTCATTTTAATGTTTTGCTTGATAAACAGATAAAGGAATTGACTGGGAGAAAAGGCAGCCTGAAGTTATGAAAGCTTAATATAACATTATTAAACATATATGCACTGGGTATCAAAAGTATAAATAGGCATTACCAACATTGTTAGATGTTGTACTGGCAATAATTCTGATTTTTAAAGTGCAGCGTATGGCCCGTAGTTCATAGAACTTGAGTTGCATTGCTAAAGATATGGAAATAGCCTTACTAGATTAGATTCCTTAATTCTTCTTTTCATGCTTTGAGAATAAAATCTGTTAAACTCTATGAGGTTTACTTCAGAGAAGATAAGGTTTGAAGTATACTTTATGTGTTTATTAATATTCATGAGTCTTAGCCATGAAGTTTGAATAATGAATTGCAACATACTTTGCTATCCTCACCTTTCACTAAGGAAAGCTTTTTTTTTTTAAAAAAATTGCATTTCTGTTCTGCCAAAATCAATTAATAACATTGTTCTGGAATAAAAACCTAAGTAATGAAATTAATAATATAAATGCTTTCTTGGTAGAGCCTGCAATTTGTATGCATGTACATATGCATAACAAAATCCTTTCATGTTATGAGAAATGATAAAATTCCTACAAAGCCTATTTTTATTTAAAATCCTAATATTGGCATGACTGGGATATCTATTGCATTAAGCTTATTATGATATTCTGAGCTTGATTTTTGTAAAATTTTAAAATCTTGTTTTCATGTATATGCAACTTGTGTTTAAGGCATGGGGTTGAATCTTAAACATAATAACGTTCTTTTTAAAACGGGGTCATCCTTGAATGATACTAAGGAGGCTTGGAATTCTGGTCTTGGAACTCTTAATATATATGCTGCATTTCATATTTTCCTACACAATTAGTTCATTTTTGTTGTATCTAGTTTACTGTAATTAATTACACAGTTTTTATAACATCTTGGTAACCATTGGTTTATGTAGTGAAGTCCTTGGTGTTCTCTGAGTTTGGTTGTTTACTTGCAGATATTTTGTTAACCTGACTAGGTAAATTTCAATTTTCTTATCAGAAAAATCAAGAATGTCACGTTTGTATTCTTCCTGAATAATACTTCTAATACTCCTTTAAGTGCCTCATTCTTTCTTTCCTTATGGGCAGCAAGATTCATATTCTATAAACTGGACACATTTAAAGGCATGTGGGCTACCAAAAGGATATATAGATCCCTAAGACAGAGGCTGCAGTTGAAGCAAGTTGGACTGCACAATTCTCTATGTAGAGTCAAATGTTTTGAGAAATCTGATCAGTATTATGTTTTACAAGCTTTTCATCTTTTATCCACATGCAGTGTAAGTATTAATTCTTACCTTCATGTGAAAGAATAAGAAACTTTAATTATTGGATTCTCAAATATTCTACCAATTCTGAATGTCATGTTAAATTTATTATGTTGTGAAGGCTTTTTGAAAATTTTTTGCCCTCTAAAATGTGGCTTAATAAATGCATGCATTTAATTTTTGAATACATAATATGCAAGGAGTCCTGTAGGAAGGGGAAAATATATTATTAATTTATATAAATTATCATTTGTGTGAAATGTACTTTTCTAGAAAATGAATTATAAGAGTATTCTTGCAAACCCATGTTTTATTTGGGGAATCACAAGTACATGGAAGTGAAAAAAATGCTTAAAGTGGAAATATTTCAAGATTGTCAGAATAGTTTGTGCTGTTTGATGGGATTTCATGGGATTGGTCTCTGTTTATGCAACCTTAATCTTTTAAAATGAACACATATAAAACATATATTCTCTGGATCTTTGCCTATCTTTGCTTTTTTGGGGTGCATGGGGAAGCCATAACAAAAAAGTCCATAATTATTATATCCAAACAATTCTACTACAATTCCTTAAAAACATTTCCCGAATGCAGAAGTTTAGAATAAAATATGAATACTTATTTCAGGTTATGTGTACTCTTTGACCTTTCAGTGCCTTTTAATACTGTTTGGGTATTATCCTGGATTGGGTTCTTGAGACATAAGAAGTAAAAAGCATTATACTACAATTACTTATGCTCTACTTGTAAGGCTACTATTTCACAATTTAATGACAATTATGGTATGAAATACTGTAATTTACATGTATGAAGGCTCTGGGTAGGTAACGAGGGGCCTTTTTTCCTTGTTAGATCACAGATAGGATTTATTCTATATTTGGGCTGAGGCTAGGCAAATATATCTACTCCAGATGAACATTGTTGTGAATGGGAAATTAATTTTGATGTCAAGATTTTCCAATTCTTGTTTCTAACAATAGCAGTGGGTCATTCAGAAAAAAATATAATTTAGATTGCAACTGATCGATAGAAAATGGTTCCATATAGAGGGGTAAACCAAATCTGTACTCTTATTTTTGGAAATTAGTGATTATTTTCTACTGGTAAAATATGTGACCACTTTTTAAATTTATTTTTTGGTATTAATTTTCTTATGAGATGCATAGGTATCCTCTCATAATACATGTTTCATAATGGATATGAGAACTAATCTCAATGTAAAAGAAGGAAATAAAGTAAATAAGAAATCATCCAAGTCACTACATGATGGAAGGCATCTTGAGATGGAAGGTATTAAGCACCCTTTTTCCTAATATTTTTTTTAAGTAACATCTTATAGACAATGTTTATCTCATTTGAATTTTCTGATCAGGCTCTCTCTTGAAATTGGGGTTTTAGGCGATCTCTTAAGAATGCTGTAATTGGTTATGGTTTAATGCTCCATTGGACTGGAAAATCAACTTTTGAAAGGAAAATGTTTACAGGGTATGATTCATTAGAGATGATTATTTATTAAATGTGTAGAGTACTCATAGTAAACAGCAGTGGTGGAGGTAAAAATAAAGCTTAAAACTTTGTTCTTTTGAACAAGTCTTACTGTTAAAATGCTTCTGGGATTTGTGTGTGTATGTATTGCAAGTATATTTATTGGTTTTAATCTTGGCTTCTAATGAAAGTTGGTCGCATGCCTTATGGAAGAGGCCTATCTAATCTTCATTTCACTTCTGCTTCTTTAAAATGTAATATTTAGAACAACATCGTCTAGATGACATGAAATAAGCACAGAATAGCTTTGTCATGTAATTAAAAAAGGGAAGGAAATATAATGGCATCTATCTTGGTGGCTCAGCCTTTTTCTAGCTCCATTTGTTTCTCGGTATTGACATGGAATCTAAATATGATTATGACATTGGTAGATCTTTTGAAAGTAGTAAGTACACCCCCTCTCAAGTGTTCAGGACTCAGAATCTACCTGTGCACATTTTATTTACCTGACAATAGTTTGTTATTTCCATGATCTAAGCCTAAGATCACATTGGCATTTTTTTCATCACTGAGCCATACTATTGATTTAGGTGACCACATCTCATTCAGTCTCTGAATGATTTACATGCTTTTGTCTTAGAGGGAGCCATGCTAGAGATACAGATGCAGACAAAAGCATTGGTACCCTTCCACTTTTTTTTCCGTAAGAACCCCAAATTTCCATGAAGTGAGTTGAAATTAACACAAAATAAATGGCATCCATTATTCTTTACTAAATAGTAGAGTGTATTTTTTAAATTTTTACCAAATCAATTTGATAAAGAAGTAAAATATTTGATGTGATGTACAACTTAATGATTGTTTTGTAAATAAATGAAATGGGATGGATATATTAATATGCCGCCAAGGCTGGGTGTGTTGTGGATTGGGTGCCAATGGTAGCTGATTTTAATTTGTTGCAGTATGTGCAATAAGAAGAGGTGGATTAAGAGATGGTGAAATTTATGTGAATTTGGGCTTTTTCTCTCTTGGGTCCAATGGCTGCTGTAATGATTATCATAAATGTCTTTAATCTCATACTCAGTCTATTTGGAGAAAAATCTGCACTGTGTCTTTTTGTGGCACTGCTTATGGGATTAGTGAAAATGAACAAGAGAAAGAAAAATAGAAGTTGGGATTATTTAGGAAAGTTCAGGAGAGATGCAAGTTTATTATTTGTTAATAATTGATATAAATCCATATTTTTATTTTTTGTTTTAAAAGGAACTACTGTATAATTCACTTTGGCTTAACAAAATAATGTTCATATATTTCAGATAGCATTTCAGCCTCCTATGTTGATTTCACTGTAAACTCAAAAGTGGTATTCAGCAGGTTCTGACCAGTTCTGGAGAACCAATAGTGGAACTTTTGAGTAGTTCGTAGAACCGGTAAATACCACTTCTGACTGTTCCCACCCCCATCCTCCCTGATCGGGAGGAAATGGGGATTTTGCAGTAACCTTCCTCTGGAGTGGGGTGGGAATGGAGATTTTACAGTATCTTTCCCCTGCCACGCCCACCAAGCCATGCCATGCCCACTAAGCTATGCCCACAGAACTGGTAGTAAAAAAATTTAGTAAAAAAATTTGAGTTCCACCACTGTGTAAACTATTCCAATCTCATAGTCTTATAATGTACAATGGTACCTCAGTACTCCACTATGCTTTGGATGCTTACTTTGGATTCATATTTGACTGCTTCAAAAATTGTCAAATTTTGTACCTGTTTTTATTTATTTATTAAATTTATAAGCCGCCCAATCCCACAGGACTCTGGGCGGCTTACAAAGCGAAAGAAAAAAAAAGGGGGGGAAAGGGAAAAAAAGAAAAATAAAAAATAATTTAAAATTCACAACACGCATTCGTTCTAGTCGGGGCTGGACCTTTCAATAAGGTCAACAGCCCCAGGCCTGCCGGAACAGCCAGGTTTTAACAGCCTTCCTGAAGGCCATGAGAGTGGGCAAGGTCCAGACCTCTGGGGGTAGCTGATTCCAAAGGGTCGGAGCAGCCACAGAGAAGGCTCTTCTCCGGGGGCCTGCCAGCCGGCACTGACTGGCTGACGGCATCCAAAGGAGGCCCACCCTATGGGATCTTATTGGCCGTTGGGAGGTATGTGGCAGTAGGCGGTCTCGCAGGTACGCTGGTCCTAAGCCATGTAGGGCTTTAAAGGTAATGACCAATACCTTGAATTGCGTTTGGAGACCAATTGGTAGCCAGTGCAGCTCGCGGAGGACAGATGTAACAATATCGCTTGCACGGCTGCATTCTGGACTAACTGTAGTCTCCGAATGCTTTTCAAGGGTAGCCCCATGTAGAGCACTGTTGTATTTTGATGTGAAAATGTTGTCCCAGTACTCGTTTGTTTGGTACTTGATGCACTGCAATAGGAAGAGAGGGATGGCTGCGGAGAATGGACAAGAAGTCAGCTATTTCAGGAAGGTTGCTGCAAAAGGAAGCAGGGGACAGCCCCAGAGGGTGGGCAGGAAGTCACCCATGCTGTGTTTTTTTTCTGGAACTGATTAATGATGAATACTGAGGTACCACTGTATATAATAAGCAGATATAGGAACACAGCTTTGTTCTTTATTTTTTGCAATCTGCTTTGTTTTTGCATTTTATTTCTTATAATAGGAGTTTTTATTCTGAACAGTCCTTATAGTAGCAGGTATTCTGGCACACAAACTAGCCATAATATATTCCATTTCCTAATGTAGATTACACAATAAAAATCTATGCTGTAGTAATAAACCTTTTTCTGTTGTCTTCATTAGCCGTCCTTTGTGTATTTTATTGATACATTATTCAAGGCATAATGTAAAGATGCTATTTTTATCACTACAATCCTCAAAAAGCAAGTTGGAACCTGGCTTGCTATAAAGAATATGTACATCTCATTCATTTTTGCTCTTCCATTTTTGAAATTTGGGAATATCTGTTTCTGCTACAGTTTTTGTTTTATTATTTCTTTTCATAACTCTTCAGATTCATGTGAATTAAGAACGGTTGCTGGAACTGGGTATGTCTAATCTGATGAAAAGAAGGACTAGGGTGACATGATAGCAGTATTCCAATATCTCAGGGGCTGCCACAAAAAGGAGGGAGTCGAGCTATTCTCCAAACCACCTGAGAGTATGGCAAGAAGCAATGTTCAGAAACAAGGAGAGAAGCAATTTAGAACTTAGGAGACTTTTCCTGACATTTAGAACAATTAATCAGTGGGACAACTTGCCTCCAGAAGTTATAAAGGTTCCAACACTGGAAGTTTTAAAGAAGAGATTGGGTAACCATTTATTTGAAGTGATATAGGGTTTTCTGCCTAAGCAGGGGGTTGGACTCAAAGACCTCCAAGGTCCCTTCCAACTTAGTTATTCTAAGCATACTGAATTTGTTCTGTATTTCAATCTTATATTTAGACTAGACTTCTATAGTAAAATCTATATCTACTATCTTTACTGCATATTTGCCAAGTTTATCATACTTATTTGATACAGTTTGATATACTTCAGACACTCTCACACTACACACGGTTATTTCATAACCTGCAACTGAAATAGGCCTGGCTGACTG